TTAAGAATAAAGTAGTCAAAAACTTATCTATTGACTGACGAGAAAAATCAATAAACTTTCACGATTGTAGGCTCAGTCTCTATGAATTATACACGAATATCACTGAAGCTTTTTGAAAAGTGAAAAAAAGTTCAACTACTATTATAGCCTTCAAAAGCTGAAAATACAATCTTAAGAAACGTGTAAGTACTCATTAAAATGAATAAAATAATTAAAGTTAGTAATGACTCCTAAAAACCTAGAACCGTGTGTGCCTACTCCCTATGAAACCTAAAATAATAAAATACTAAAACCTAGTTTTTAAAACTGTGTGACTACTCCCTAAAAAATCTAAAAATAATAAAATACTAAAACCTATAGACTACTCCCTAAGAAACCTAGGAAACGTGTTCAGAACTTTCACTAAAATAAACAATTTATTTAATATTTTTTAACTCTTTCTTTTTCTAAAAGTAGTTTTACTGTTAAAGCTTTTACTTTTTGGATGGGTTATAATAATTAAAAATAATAAAATAGTCTAAACTATTAGTATTTTGAAGCCCAAACAATTAAAACTCTTCCTATGTTAGGAGAAATTTTTAGTTGTGACGGGAATACGAATGATACATCACGTGTTTTTATGCAAGTGGTGGAAAATTTTAATTTTTAAGTTATTAACATTTTAACATGCATAACTCACCATTTATATAAAGACATGTGATGTACCACCTCGTTTGATGATCACACTGAAAATCCCTCCTATGCTAGAGCCCACTCTAGCCTTGTTACTACCTCTGTCGTTGGTCAATGATCCAATTTTTTGTTTTTAGATTGGTTTGTTTTTCCGACCAAAAAAAAAAGAGATTAGCTAGTTTTTTACTGTTAGTTTAAATAGTCGGTTGTATACTCATATTCAAACATAAAGTTATAGTATTTGGCTCAAGACATGTATGTTAATTTGTGGTGAGTTTAGTGTTTTCGTGCAATTAAAACACAAAATAGGTAATGAAACCCCTCTAGTTTAGTCTTTTGGTCAATTAATTTCGAATTGAATCATCACATTCTAATCGTCTTTTAAACTAATTACATAGAAAAAAATTTGTGAGAGGAAACATTTGCTTTACAACTTTACAGTATTATATAGGTTGATCCAAAAGTTGATTACTTCTGATTAGTTATTTTTCATGTAGGACTTTTTTTCTTGGATCTGATAAATTACAAAGATATGGATTTGTGAATAAAACCTATGTGTTGCATTTGTGGGTGCCTAAAATTGTGTTTTTGTTTCATGCATAGCACAATATTTATGAAACTACAGCAAAATTACACACTATTTTTGAAAATTGAACCAAAATAACTCACACTATTTCTGGAATGGAACACAATAAACACTATTTTAGAACTACAACAAAATAACCCACACTATTTATGAAACTGAACTAAAACAACCCCCTATTTCTGGAACTACAACACAATTACACAATATTTTTGAAAATTGAACCAAAATAACTCAAATTATTTCTCGAAGGGAACAAAATAGACATTATTTTTGGAAATGCAGTAAAATAATTCACATTATTTCTGGAAATACAGTTAAATAACTTACACTATTTCTGAAAAATAACCAAAATAACTCACACTATTTATGGAACCACAACAAAATAACACACACTATTTTTGAAATATAACCAAAATAACTCACACTATTTATGGAACCACAACACAATAACCTACAATATTTATGAAACAAAACCAAAATAACTCACAGTATTTATGGAACCACAGTAAAAAAACTCATACTACTTCTAAAACTGAACCAAAATAACCTACACTATTTTGGAAATTATAGCAAAATAACCAACATTATTTCTAAAACATGGCAAAAATAACTCACACTATTTCTGAAACTGAACCAAAATAATCTACACTCTTTTTGAAACTACAGCAAAATAACCAATATTATTTCAAAAACATAGCCAAAATAACTCACACTATGTTTGGAACTAATGCAAATTTACATACTATTTCTAAAGACTGAACGAAAATATTTCACACTATTTATGAAAGAGAACCAAATAACCATTATTTCTGGAACTACAACAAAATAACATACACTATTTCTGAAACTGATCCAAAATAACCTAATATTTTTGGAACTATACCAAAATTACACACTATTTTTTAAAACTGAAATAACCTACATTATTTTTGAAACTACAGTAAAATAACCAACACTATTTCTGAAACTACAACCAAATAACCTACACTATTGCTTGATGTGGAATTTGCTTTTCTTGGAAATAGAAGGTACAATGTTGGATTCAATTACAAAGAGAGCACATTAAGTTTCAGAGTGAAATTTGGAAATTCTAGAAGGGTAAAACTTTAACCTTTTTATGTTAGGTAAAGAAGGTGAATGCACTAACATGAATGAGTGAGGATTCTGGATATTCTCAAATCATATCCGTTCATCGTATATCATGCGGTCAGTTTTCGATCATAGTTAATTTTCAAATATGTGTAACAATTTAAAAAAAAAAAAAAATTGGTGACAAGTTTATGCAAATTCATGGAGAAGAAGAGAGGGTTGGAGAAGAAAACCCATAAAAAAGAGAGAAAGAGAGGGTGTAAAAAACAAGGTAGACATTAACACTATGTTTGGATGAGGAAAATAAACATGGAATTTTGGTAAAAATCAGAATTTATAAATTGACAAGCACCAATTCTCTTGTTTGGATTCATAAACATAGAAATTTAGAATTTCCGCATGGAAAAAAAACTTGGAATTTGGAACCTCCAAATCCCAAGTTCAAATTCCATGTAAATAGATATCATTTCTCAATTTCTATAATTGAGAGTTTAAAAATAACAAATTCCGTATTCAATTTCCTTGTTCTTTTAGGTTAACTAAACAAGAAAATTTACAAATTTTAGAAAATAAAATCTCGTCATTTCAATTTCCGTCATTTTTAAATTCCTTAGTGATCTTAAATTTCTTCACCCAAACATAGTCTAATGCTTTGTCATGGAAAAAGCAAATGGAATTAATTTTCGATCACAGTTGGATTTGAATAGAATAACGGGCTTGGTTGGATTCGGATAGGGGCAATTTTGGAAAAAATATTTATTGTTGGGTTTGGGCTTTTAATGTAGTCCGTGAGTTGTTATGTTTGTAGGGCTTGATACATGAATAGTTGTGTCCTTAGGATTAAATTTTCAGACATTTTGATAAAATAATAGTTTAGAGTGATTTTTGGTTAAATTAAAGTTAGCCCAACCCCTTTTCATTAAAGTTCCATTTTTTTTCCCCAATATTACGTAAACACAAGAGTATCCCATAACCATAGTTCAATTCTCTATTTTGATTCCAATTACCTTTACATAAACGTGCTATTAATGAGAAAATCTTCTTTAGGGATGAGATTACGAGAAATTCTCGCTAATAATCAATTAATAGTTTTAGAGGTGTTTATCTTGTCAGTTAATCTTTTTCACATATTAAATGGTCAATTATTCATCCTACTAAAAGGCTTGTAACGTGATAAACTAGTGACAACAAGGTATGTCTACCAAATCACATGTTCATGTTAGAATTCATTAGAGATATTGTATTTATGAATGTAAAAAGAAAATATGTATATCAAAACGAGTTTGTATATTTTTGGATTGTTTTGGAAAAGAATGATATTTTCTAAAAACTGTGAAAAATAGAGAATGTTCATTCATTCAGAGAGAGTGATGAGCACTTGAGCTTGGCTCTAAAGGTTACATCAAGTAATCCTAGCCATCCATCTTACAACCTATGAGTCTAAGACAAGTGGCACAACTAAGACCTTTGAGTCATAATAGATTCACAACAACATTTCTAATTAACTCCGCCAACAACAAATCAGTGTGGCAATTTATAATTCAACACTCTCCTTTAAATTTATATTGATTTCACTCCAAGAAGCTGCTTGAGATAATTGAACTGATCCTTCGCTAATGCTTTTGTGAATATATATCTACAACCTGTTCTTTTGTTTGGATAGTAGATCAAATCAATAACACCCCCTTGAAGTGCATCATTGACAAAGTGATATATTTTGTCAGTGTGCTTGGTTTTCTAATGAAAACATGATTCTTGGTGATGGAAATTGCTTAAGTGTTATCACACTTTAGTGGAGTTGCTTCTATTTGAAGTTCGCCTAAATCCTCCATAACAAACCTTAGCCAAATAGTTTGAACAATTGCCCTTGATGCACTACGTACCCTGCCTCAAACAATAACCATCATTGACAAAGTGATATATTTTGTCAGTGTGCTTGGTTTTCTAATGAAAACATGATTCTTAGTGATGGAAATTGCTTAAGTGTTATCACACTTTGGTGGGGTTGCTTCTGTTTGAAGTTCGCCTAAATCCTCCATAACAAACCTTAGCCAAATAGTTTGAACAATTGCCCTTGATGCACTATGTACCCTGCCTCAAACAATAACCAGGATTTTTTTTTTTTTTTTTTTTTTAAAAGGACCAGTTGGTGACTTCGCCACAGCAGGTTACCTTTTTGGGAGCCGGAAAAACTCACTGATGCATTTCAGTTGCCCCTAATCACCATTGTATGATCACACACGCCAGGAATCGAACCCAAGACGAGCCACATGAAATACGGGTTTGGAATTCGTCCCTAACCACTAAGTTACCCTATGGTGGTTAACAATAACTAGGTTTTCGTATGTGTATAATTTCTCTTGTATAACTTTCTCGAGTGATTTTCGTGATCTAACCAAATTTAAAGATGATCCACAAAAATTGTTGTGTCTAGGGTTTTCTCTAATTTTTATTTTAATTTGGTTATTACAGCTAGGGTTTTCTTTATCAAAATGCTTAGGAATTATGTGCGAGTGTAATTATTCAACGATTTTGCAAAACAAATTACAAGGAAAAAATCATGGACAAATTGCTAGAAAATAGGAAAGATATTTGATTACGATAATTATTTATTTCCTAATGGAGTGATTAATCACTTAGTTGTAATCATATAATTACATCAGATAAGGCTGATCTGGTTGTTCCTTTATTTTCTCCACTGCACTGCTCAGCTCACCACAACACTGTAGTTTAGACTCCATGACTGATTCAAAACCCAACAAATTAGGATCTCAAAGATGCAGACTCCACTCTATCTAAATTTTAGTATTTAAGCTCCCCACAGTACTATACTTCTGACACTAACCCTTTTTGGCAAGCTAGTTAATCAATCTACCTCAATGACCGACCAACATCCCTCAAGTGCTCAAGCGGTAAGTGCATATGTTTATGAGATTCATCAAAATATACACATTTCTTTAGTTTTAGCAATCTTTTGTACTTTGCTAATCACAATACACAATTTAATGTTGCTATGAAATCCAAATCCGGGGAAGCAGCCCAATATGTGAATGCCGATTCATCGATCTATCTATGATATACTCATAATTCCACTAGATCAATAGCTAGCTAGTTTACTTTGGGTTTCTATTTTGTATCTTGATGGCTGTTCGTAAACAAACCTAATATATATTTGTATATATGCAACTAAAATCCAGGGAAACACTACGAATGAAAATGAAGCAGCTAGAAGGGCCCAAGAGCAACTCGATATAAATAACTGGCTGCCCATCACTGCTGACAGGAATGCAAAATGGTGGTACTCAGCTTTCCACAATATCACGGCTGTTGTTGGTGCAGGAATACTGGGCTTACCATATGCATTATCAGGATGTGGCTGGTAATGTATTCTTCTTTTTTCTATATATTAAAAAAATATATATAGATACATATATATAGTTACACGAGTACGAAATTTAGTTCTTCCTAATATATACCACATATATAAACTAAATAAAATTTCGAGATACTTACGTTTGATCTTATGGTACGTTGATATTTATTTGTTCAGGGGCCCTGGAATTGCAGCCATTTTCTTGTCATGGGTGATCACTTTCTACTCATTCTGGCAACTGATTAGACTGCATGAAATAGTACCGGGGCAGCGTTTTGATCGATACCCGGAACTAGGGCAGCATTGTTTTGGGCCAAAACTAGGGTACTGGATTATTATGCCGCAGCAGATGACTGTGCAAGTGGCTTCATGCATTGTGTATACAGTCACGGGTGGCAAGTCATTGAAAAAATTCTTCGAACTCGTTGTTCCAAGTATAGGCCATATTAGACAAACATATTTCATCCTCTTCTTTACTGTTTTGCAATTAGGGCTCTCTCAATCTCCCAATTTCAATTCTCTGAAAGGAATTTCTCTCCTCGCGGCACTCATGTCTTGCGGGTATATATTCCTTCCTTCATAATCATACATTTCTTAGTTATTTCTGATGATAATGCTATATATTTGTTGCATGCAGTTACGCGATGATAGCATTTGTGACATCGACAATCATGGGTGTAAATAACCACGCGCATGTTGATCATTCACTTCGATCTCATACGACACCAAGCCAAGTATTTGATATGTTGGGTGGATTAGGAACAATAGCATTTGCTTTTGCCGGACACAGCGTGGCTTTAGAGATTCAAGCCACAATCCCTTCAACTCCAGAGAAACCCTCAAGAATTGCAATGTGGAGAGGCGTCGTCGTGGCTTACGTCATCGTAATATTTTTCTATCTTGCAGTTGCAATCTCTGGCTTTTGGGCTTTTGGCAATTCTGTAGAGGATGATGTTCTCATCTCACTAGAAAAACCTGCTTGGCTCATCGCAGCCGCTAACCTAATGGTGTTTTTCCATGTTATAGGAAGCTATCAGGTAATTGAATAAACACACACTTTATAACTAGTAAAAGCATGCATACATTATACGGCACTATCAATTAACTACTTAATTCATTGCTAATGCTTCCTTATTTTTTTATTATATATATTCAGGTCTTTGCAATGCCTGTGTTTGATCTGATCGAGTCGGTTTTAGTAAATAATTTACGTTTCAAACCAGGATTGCTATTACGTTTCATTGCTCGCAGTGCGTACGTACGTAAGTACCATTCTCTCTATGAATAATAAAACTACTGCTGGCCGGTATATTTATGACCGATCTCTTAATCTTTTTGCTCAAATCTGTGACATCTTTTGTGAATAGATTATGTTTGATTTTCTTTGAACTTTTTTCCAGTCGTAGCAGGGTTCATTGCAATGTGCATTCCATTTTTTGGAGGATTGTTAGGACTATTTGGAGGTTTAGTGTTCTCCTCGACATCTTATTACGTAAGTTCATATACGATCTCAATTGATGAAACAACGACACAGATTATTTAACATTGTATTTATCTTGGTAATTAGTATAGGTGTGGTATTTAAGTTGCTGAATTGAATTTGGTGCAGATGCCTTGCGTTATGTGGATTGTCGTTCATAAACCAAAAAGATTTAGTATGCACTGGTGGGCCTCATGGGTATGTTCACAAACACACTTTCTCTCATGCGCATCACACATATGCGCATGTCAATTCTCAATGCGTAATTGAGTGATATTCATAAAATATTAGCTAGTTTTTCAGTTTATTATGGTTTTTAAAGTTTTTTATATTATGCAAGAGCTAAACTCCACATGTTTTATTTTGTGTTTGATTTCAGTTTTCGATCGTGGTAGGCGTGCTGCTGGCTCTTTTTTCACCCATAGGAGGAGCGCGCGAAATTATTATGCAAGCCAAAAGTTACAAAATGTTTTCTTAGCGCTCGATCATACATTTGTTTTTCTTCTTAATTAGAATATAGATCATCGAATAGATAGTCTGCAAGATGTGGTTTATAGACGGAAAAGTTCCACATTGTCTTTTTTTTTTTTTCCTTTGTGTTTTTGCCTTCTTGTTTTGGATTTTCTGCAAAAACAAGAATGCAGTGTTGGAACTCAGTTTAATTGTCAGCTAAAATTCATTAATTCATTTGATAGCAAATTTTGAATTCGTTTTGTAGGCATCGAAATTTCGGTGAAATAAATGTTCACAAATGCATTAAAGTTTCAATATGCCAGGGCATACGTAACATGCGCCACGTGTCTCACAAAATCATACACATGGATATGACTCATCAAAATTGAACGAGTCATCAAGAATGACAAGTGTCAACATCTGCAGAAATGAATTATTTGATTTTAATTTAGTTAGGTTTTTTATATTAGCACCCCACAAAATGTTAAATGCACCTCACATTAAAATTTAATATTAAATGACTTATTTACCCCACTATGCAATGACAATTTTGACCTTATTAGGTTTTAAAAAAAAAATTTCTAAATACACCCCAAATCACTTTTAGCGTATTATTTATCTTCTCAATTATCAAAACCCTCCCACCCTCCATTGTTGAACAAAACCCTAACCAATGAAACTACAAACATGTTGATTGACCAAAATATGCACAAGAAAATGAAAACAGCATGGTAGCTTTGAAATTGCTGTTATTATTATTGAAAAAGTTCAAATGAATCTAACCATTTGTACTTGTACCTCCATTTATATCTATCAATGTAAAGATGCAGCTTCAAATATCTCAAATTCATTTGGAAGTGCAGCTTTAAATATTTCAAATATTTCCAAGAGTATACGTCTTAAAACCAGCCACGCAATAATCAAAATAGTATTCCCATATCCAGATGAATTGTTCATCGAATCCAAGAGCGAGAATTTATCTATGCAAACGCAGCGAAGTTATTTCACCAGCATTAAAACTCAAATCATTTTTAAAACCTTAGCATCATAGCAAGTTGTAAAATGTTAAAACAACCATATTACTTGCAGGAAAAGAAAAAGTACAGAAAATGAGCGGATTATAATCTGTAATCACCATTTATAGTCAAATTGTTTGAAGAAGGATACCAATGAGAGTTTACATGAAATCTCCTTACCTTTGTCCGTCCAAGAATTTTTTTCTCCAATTTCTCAGTGTTTGAAAGTAATGGAGGATGCCAATGTTTTTCCAAGTGCTCCACACTGCAGAAATGAAGTTCATGAAAGTCAAAAAAAAATTGCATACCACGAAGTTAAACCTAGCAATGAAGCCATTGCTGATGTTACCCTACTTAACGAAGGTAGACATTTGTCGATGCAAACTATAATACTAAGATGATTTCAAATCATTCGGCAAACTAAACGTTTAGATGATTTGAAATCTTTTGGCAAACTAAACATTCAAATGGTTAGATTCAGTCCCTGAAAATAAAAAATGAATGTTATAAGATTTGAGAAATGTGGGGTGTATAGAAAATGTGGGGTGTATTGTGATGACTCGTCCCAAATTATTATATATATTTTCTCCCCTACTATGTAAAGTGAGATATTGCCCTCTTTGGCTTAGTGACGTGGATGTACATGTGTAGTTTTAAATTATTTTCTCACCATCGTAATTAAATAGTACTCGACGTCACGAGCGCGTCGATGCGAGTTAGGGCTGAATCTGATTCATAAAGAAAAAGTTACGATTAATTGAATACTTAAACGAGTAAATCACGAGCCAATTATATTAGCTCCTATTACCTCTAAACCAATCAGATTTTGGGCTTTTATCTTTCTTTGGGCCAATTGGAACTTTATCTCTCTCACGGCAGCCCAATAAAAAAATATTATTTTCTGATTCTGGCCAATCACACACACATACACGTACACTCTCTCTCTCCTTCTCGACTCTTCTCCTTTCTTTTTCCTGTCAGCACCCAAGACACCCCACATGCAGAAACCACACCAAAACAACATGAATCGAACCTACAAAGACTACCATCACACTCTTAACAAACTCACGAACCTAGCCATACCTTTAGGTTTCAGTTTTGGTGAGTTTTAACCATCGACTCACGAGCTTTTAAGGCTTGGAAAGGTATCCAGGCAACTTCCCTAACACTTTGGAGTAATCTTGGAGTGAAGCGGATATCGATATAAGCGAGTTTGGAAAGTTGCAGAATTGGCCGGATTTTCCAAGGAATTTTCCAACCATTTTTTATAGGATTTTGAACTCTTAATAGGTACGAATGTGTTCTACTCTTCAAGACCTTCAAATCAATATAAATTTCATGGATTTTGGTTGAGAAATAAAGTAGATATTAAGTTTTGAAAATTTTCCAGAAATCGGCGAACCAGACGACGGATGATGAAGACCGGCGAGGTTCACTAAAGTAGAAAAAGAATATTCTGTCAAAGTTGATGGAATATTCTGTAATTTTAACGGAATATTCCTAACGCCGTTAGGGTTTCCGTCTAGTGTACCAGGCACGTGCCTGCGCATGGCCGGCTCGTGTGGCCGTGCCTTGGTCGACACTTGAGGGCACGTCGGACATCCAAATTTTTTTCTAAAGATATGGCGATGTTTGTGTTGTCGAGTAGATCACGTTGGTATATTCAAACACTCCATTTGAGCAATTAATCCTAGGCTTTGTTTACGTGCTAATTAATTAACGTAAAAATAGTTGTATCGCATATAGGTGAGACGTACCCCGAGGACGAGCGTGGACAACCGAAGCTAGGGGGCTACGATCCTACTACTTATCAGTGAGTGGGTATTTGTTTTCTATATATATATATATATATATATAGATATATATATTTATATATAGTTTCCAAAAATGCTTTCATATGGAACTATGCTTTGCTTGCCATGTCGTAAATAAGCTACATTTTAAATATTGCATTGTTACATTTGCGAATTGTATTGTGTGATCCTGTGGAGACTCAGGTAAGCTTCAGGTGAGTACTATGTGAATGAATGGGTTGTATTGCATTGGTATGCACACATTTATTTAGAGCTCATCATGGTTGCACCCCGGTATTAGTGCTCCCACCCGGGGCTAGGGTTAGCCATCACATGATTGTTCACCTCCCGCACGGCACGCTTACCTTGGATTCAAGTCTGGTGCCAGCCTGTTGTACAGACCACAATAAGTGGTTCCGACTCGTAGGTGACCCACGAATTATCGCACAGCCTTCACGTGATCGTAGCACTTGAGCGTACGTATTTATACCTAGCATGTCGTACATGTCACACTAGGTGACTCCGACTCGTGTGCTAGCCTAGATTGATAAGTTACAAGTCCAGTCATACAGGTCACGTTAGGTGACTCCGACTAGCATTATACTATTTTATATTGGTTTCACACCTGACTTACATTTTTTATTGCTGAGATATCATGACATAGCATGCTTAAGTTTTTTATGCTCTTGTGCATTGGTTTTCATACCTACATAATAGTATTTTCTAGAAACTATACGGGTTTTACGGAGAGGGGTTATTATGTTCATAAAGATAAATACGTTTTCAAACGCTTTGTTTTTACCCACTCACCTTTCTGTTTTGCCCCCCCCCAGGTTCTAGGTAGCTGTTCATCTTTGGTGGCTCACGAGGACTACACGGCGGTTCTGACGTTTCCATAAATAAAAGTAGGGACCAATGGAGAAGGGGCGATGTGCCTTATATGTACATGCCCACCTCCATATAGCACGAGGCCTTTTGGGAACTCATTGGCTTCGGGTTCCATCAGAACTCCGAAGTTAAGCGAGTTTAGGTGAGAGAAATCCTAGGATGGGTGACCCACTGGGAAGTTCTCGTGAGTTCCTAGAAACAAAACCGTGAGGGAATGGTAAGCCCAAAGAGAACAATATCGTGCTACGGCGAAGCCGAGATTGGGATGTGACATGTATTGATTAGGGGTGGGCAAACGGACCGTAGGTCAAGGCGGGTACAAGCTGGTTCCTACTTTTAAAAAAGAGAAACGGGGCGGGCTTTTGTGATTTTTGGTTCGGGCCGATTCCTGGACTAGAGGAACCGCGGGTACCCGGACTGGCCCGTTTGTAATTAAAATGGACGGACCAGATTGATGAATAAGCTACCATATCTAATTTGAACTGTTAGCTTTAGTTTTACCCTAAGTTCTCTATCTCTCTCATCTCGACTCTCACTCTCACTCTCACACTTAGACTCTTAGTCTCAGTCCCTCCTCGACAGTTCCCTTGACTCCAATGGTCCTCCCCCTCACCAACCGTAGATTCTCCTCGGCGAACACAACGACACCACCCATCATCCTCCTCGACAACATCCCAGAGAACCTAAGGGCCAGGCCATCACCCCTGCCGTCGATTCTCTCCTATTCGACAACAACCCCATCACCGTCGTCGAGGACACTGGTACCAACCATCATCCCTCTAAAATTTAGGTAATTTTGAATTAGGGTTTTGTTATTAATTTGAAATTTTGAATTTTGGGTGCAGCTATTTTTGGGTTTTTAAATTGGAATTTAGGATTGTAGGGTTTTCGAACTAGGTTACTAGAGTTAATTTTGCTGTAGATTGATGATTGAATTGATAATTTTGCAGTAATTTGGCAAGCTTTGATGCCTTCTAACTTCTAAGTTCTTATGGAAATTAGATACTAGATTAGTAGATAGTGTGAGTCTATACATTTCTTCTTCCTTTTGAGTTGAGTTGGATGCAAAAATTGGTCAAAATCTTTGTCTGCATCAGCATCATAATCATTTTTCAAAGAGCTTTCGAGCCCCACTCTGAGTTTTACAATATTTATTCTCAAACCATTTGGTTGGCCTGTTAGAGCACGGAGTCATGTTCTGCATATGCATTAGTATTTGGCTTTACCCTCGGCCCCTTATCTGTATATCAAATTCCGCTTTGATTGTTGTCGCACTAGGGAGAAAAGAAAAAAAAAAAGGGAAAGAAAGAAGAGGGACATAAGGAAGG